CAACTCAACATGCAATTTAAAAAAGAAAATCGTATTCTAAGAAAAACAGTAGATTCTTGTAGAAAAACGGAAGAAGAGAAGAAATTTCAGAAAAACGGGAGATCTCCTGTAAAATCATTCCAGGCCAGTCATTTAATATATCCACTTCTCACCGATATTTAGCAGCGTCAAAGATTTTGAATAAACAAGTTGCTATTACCAATTTCATCACAGTTTATGAATAAATCCTCTATCTAAAATCAAAACAGTTAGGTGCTTCGGCGAGAATGTAACAGAATCGAAATTAAAGTGACTCAGTCAACAGTGAAACGGAGTGTGTTCACGTAGGTGGCCGCCGCCGGGTCCCCGTCGATATTGGAAGAGACTCGATCCAATTTTAGCTCAACGACACTAAACTTGCACACTGCTTCATCAAGATAGCGCAGATACCAATATTGTGCTGTGCACACCCTACAGAGTTCAAAAGGATTAATTAACTTTTCTGTTGCAGATAGGTAGAACGCATTTCACTAGGAATTTCAAAAATACCTAATACTGCAGCGAACATAGATTAATGATAACACCCGGACACCTTTTTGCTGTCGGGAGACTACTACATCTAATATTAAAAAACAGATTGTAGTAAATATTCCGATTGCTTAAAAATGACGCGTTTCTTGCGTAACGATAACGATGAATTGAGACTGAAGATAACTTTCTTAAATTACGTAGAGCAAATCAGTCAGGCCTGAATTCCCCAGTGAAGCGCTAGAGTACCCTACATCTACCATATTAATAATAAGTAATCAATGGGCCTAATGGTACTGGCATCATTCTTTAAACCTAAACTACAGTAGTTGAACCCTATCATGTTCTTTAGAGAATGAAAAGGAGAGACTGGTTTCAAGTTAAGTTTTAAATTAAGCAAATCATGAAATAATGAATCCCAAATATATCTTTGTAGTAGCAATACAAAATTAATTACAATTATTAGCGCGGCTTATACTTTGGTACCGATTTTTAAAGATGTGACAACATGGCATGACCATGACTCAAGAGTGATTGAAGGCAATAATCTGACAAAATCTTAGGTACAAACAATGCCTATTAAGTGTTGGGAACATCATTGAACGCAAAGAAAGTGGCAGATCAACTTTAGCCAAACTCAAGAGTTGATAAACTTCGCTGAGTGCGACCGTAGAAGTTGCTTCCCAGCAACAAACTCAGCATGTGAATGGAAACGTATTAGAAAGGACATTCCTATACAACAATGACACTAGATTGTTAGAAGCCAATACCATTTTTGATGAACATTTTAACTCGGGGAAGATTTAGACTATTATATATACTAGACATTAGAAAAAGGAGACAAAAGAAATAATTAAAAGATAATTTGGAGAATCGACTATATATCAGATGAAGTCAGGGGCAAAAACAAATAAATAATAAGACAGCTTTACAAACAACCCAAATCAAGGTTGTTCTAGAAACTCAATATACGCTCACATTATGACTGGCCATTGAAAATTGTCTCTTAATATCGCTCTCGCAAATGGGCTCCTTACAACACCACAAAGCAGCTCTAATTAGCCTTAAAGGAAATATCACAAAAAAGATCTGAATAAAGGACCAAATAACCTAAAGAAATCATTCACGTATTTACACAAGAGATTCCATTAAAATGTCATCTTACCCGCAGATGTCCCGGCCGACTCAATGAAGAGCTCACAGAATTGAAAACATAAATCCGAGTCCATACCAATTAACTTTTGACCGAACCCACCCCACTGGCAGCCGCAAAATAAATTACCCACATTACTGGGCCATTTTCAACATCCACGTATTCACACACGGTTGTACATAAAAATCCGATAGCAATCAACATAATATTAGGTATCTATATGAAAAAAAAATCGGAGTTGCGCTGTTTGAAGTCGGTTACGACTACTGACACGTTATCGTCAATATGGGTTTTGAGTTCGCAAAATCGCAAATTGTATTGTACCTTCGACAATCTAAGAAATTATAATAAATAAATATTTTCAACACTCAATTAGCCTAGCCCAAACTAAGCGCTGAAAGTCTTGGATTACAGGATACTAGGGTGACGGATGGAATACATATTATTATACTGATACATATACCTATAAGTATATAAAATAATAGAATTTGAATAAAAAAAACATAATCTATACATACATATATAAAACTCAAAGGTGACTGACATAGTGATCTATCAACGCACAGCCCAAACCACTGGACGGATCGGGCTGATATTTGGCATGCAGGTAGATGTTATGACGTACGCATCCGCTAAGAAAGGATTTTGATCAATTCTACCCCCAAGGGGATAAAATAGGGAATGAAAGTTTGTATGAAACTTTATCAATTTTAAACTTTTTTTTAAGCTGAGACTTTGCATGCAAGTATAAGAAGAATCATAGATGAATGTCATTGTGTATAATACGAGCCTGAGAACAAAAACTGTAGTCTACACTTCAGCTCTACACCGAAGCGAAGCGAGGGCGGGCCGCTAGTTTAACATATTTAGGAAATTTTGATAAATGCAATGTAACTTTCTCAAAGTAATAAAGAAGTAACAAAGTCCATATTAACCACAGGCTGCCTCGTAATGCCCATAATTTCCAACCAACATCCTTTTATAGACCACTTTTATTAAGCAGATTTAACACATCATTGAAACGCGTTATATATTAAAATCGTTTCCTACTTTGAAGAGCCTTCAGAACTAGACATGAAAGGAAATGAAAAGAGTCGTTAAAACTCCGATACATACAAGAGTGACGTGGTCCACGGGAGAGACGTAATGGTACGAAAATGATAAATGCGCCAGACAGGGCGGCTATAAATCTCTCCAAAAAGATTACTCGGTACGTTATGCCGATGAAAACAATTTGTATCCTTTTGTTTCTTGACAAGTAGAATTCAGCATTTTAGATTGTAAGCACACAGGGCCCGCGGCAACCGCCTTTGCTTTGGTTGCATTAAGTACTTGAATCAATAAAATCGTAGCTACACCAGGCGAAGATTTATTGCTATATTGCCTACTATTTGATGACATCTTCTCGGTGATGCGTCAATCTTTTCAATTTAAATGTCAAGTGCTTAAAATAAGTTGTTGATAAATATTAAAACACTTCTGATGGGTATGAAGCGCGATTTTTAAAATAGTTCCGTGATGTAGTGTTATAACACGCAAATAAGGCAAATGTTCCATTAAAACAATGTAGTGATTGATAATAAAAAATATTACAAAAGGTTGAAATATTATTTCAACGGGATGTAGCTTAATGAGCGATTGTTGTTTAGAACTATGTACACAAAAAAGGTTTGATTAGTACATTCAGATCTCATGGAGCCGTGTGTTCATTGATTGCAATTTTCTTACCTATATACCTACTATTCATGAAATCGCTTTTACATTAGACGTTTACTCACGTACTTAGTTGTTGCTTAATATTTGTAATCTATGTTATGTCATTTTACCTATTTACTTAAGTTTTATGTAGCATATCGATAGAAAATATACAATATTATTTTCTGAATTAAAGAACTAACCCATAATTACTTGAAGATCCCAATAGAATTTATACCGCATAAATTGCTTCACACGGGCCCTGTTTATTAATGAGAATGAGCAGTTTTGAAATTTCTATAGGTATGTATATACAACATGCCTAATTTCGAATTTCAGATGTTTTTTGTGAATTTCCCAAAACAATACTGTCATACAAACCTTCCCCCCAAAACTTAGACTCAGTAATAATCAGACATATAGGCCAAATCAATTCAAGTGATGCTCTGTCATACATTTTAATCAAACAAATATAACTAAATGCTTGACACAGCATTCTAAATTCAGCTACCTACCCCTAACACGCTTGGTTGCTTTCCAGAGAAGGGCTTGACAAGTCTCCCTACTTGATTGAATAATAGATTGGAAATATATTTTCTTTGTGAAACGAAATCATTGTTATATTATGAAGATATTGATTCTTGAAAAATATTTCGTTTTTATGTATTTTATTCAGTTTCTAGCATTCAATGCTAAAGGATTCCAAATTGAGTATTGGTTATATTTAATAAGACATGGAGATGAGCTATTTTTTTTATAGGGGGGCTACCGCTGATAGAGCATTCATTAATCATCAATAATCCTGAATATGAATAAAGGCTGTTGTTCTTAGTAAACTACAGTTTGTAGTTTTAACTGTATGTCAATTTCGTCTAAAAAATAGCTTTATTATCTTAAAAAATAGCTTTATTGTCATGTCTAAATAATTGTATTAGTCTAGATAAACTAAGCCTGTAGATTTGAATATAAATGGACAAAGAATAATTAATAATGCGTGTTCATGAGTTGTCTAACAGATAACGCCATTGGACAAATTGTTAGACCGTAATTTACCTAACAGTTTATGTGAAGTGGCATGCGATTTTGAAAATTTTCAGATAATTATTAGTAGGTAATAGAAATCATCTTGTGTTTAAAAGAATATACGAATTTGATAGCGACCTTTTATCTGTAGCCAGTACAGATTTACTCATAAAACTAGCGAGCTTCTCTTTTATTGCGTCGTATACCTCAAAGACGTGAAAATGGGGGCTCTTGCGTCTCACAATACACGTGCCTCAGTCATTACAAAGTGTGAACGACATCCTAGATTAGGGACCCTTGGGAAATCTTCATATTACTCGTTCCCGGGTGTGCGATTATATACTGTTTACGTCCCTAAAGTTTTATCCGATCTCTCCGACCGTTCCTTTTACCTGACCGATTCGGAACCGAATTATGTGCTCGGACCGAGGCGTCCTTCATACCGCGTTACCTCTGCTCCTTCGCGCTTCGCCTACCGTAGCATCCAGCGGCTTCGAGCCGTGCGACCATTCACTCACAACACCTCAGCTCTCACCATCACGCCAATCGATTCTAGACAGGGTAAACAAACGCGGCGGCGCGGCGGACGCCTGTTGCGTTGGGCACGAGGCCGGTCACTCACCGGGTAGCAAAGCCAGCAGCGCCAAGGCCGCCAGCATGGGGGCCATGGCGGCGACGCGCGGGCATACCACACCCGCGCACGCTGCGCTAGCACGCCGGCGCGCTCATGCGGCCTAAGACACTCGTGCGGCCGGCCCGAGCGGCGCTCGGCGCGGGACTGGGCGCGCCACCCGCCCGCACCCCGCACCACCCCGCCCGCGCCCGCGCCCCGTCCCTCCCTGCACCCCCCGCCCGCCGCCCGCCTGCGCAGCCTCCAGGTGCGCGCGGCGCCGACCTGAGCCCTGCCCCTTGAAAAATCCCGTGGAATCTCTTTATGTTTGGAAGGTGATTATTCATTGAACGGCTACTTTTCAACTATGTGTACTGCCCGGGATTAGTTGACAAACAGTCGCAGCCCTACTTGACCTTTGCGAAGGATAGGGATCAGAGCTAGATGGATGTAGTCGCGGCCCTATAGGCCCCGGGACAAAGTAGGGCATCGGGCTCAAGGTCGCTGCAGCCCTCGGCAGCCGGCCGGGATGCGGTGTCGCTCGCCGCTGACTTGTAATCTTTATGCGCCCTTGACAGTCGCGGCCCTCACGAAACTTACACTGTGGCTCTACTGAAATATTAATTGAAAACCATCCTTTTTTTATCTACATGTAAGACTTGGAAAATATTCATTAATATTTACCGTAGACTGCGTAATTCTGTACCGGTACTTAGGTACATGAAAATGGCAATCTTTTTTAATACTCCAATTCTCTAAAAGGCATTTATTCGTATTTTATGAAGAATAAAGTCCAGTTTTAGGCTCAGTTTCTACTTTTTAAAATTCTGCTCGTGAACTATATATATTTTCTAGACAGAATCAGAATGATTGATGACTTTTTAACATTTAAGAAAAACAAACACGCTTTATTAAAATATTGTCATAAACGCTCTCGAAACAAAACCGCGAAAATACTAGAGACAGATTTTATCAGAACACTGCGGGTCGCTCATTCTAATATGAGCTTTATGCAGTGTGGCGTAAGGAAGAAAGTGCAACGACATCTTCCTTACTTATAAGTTGGTACCTACTACGCACTTGCGGATGCTAGTTAACTCTCAATTTAACGGGATTTTTCTAGAATGCGTCGATTGGCGTATATAAGCGCGATCGCCGCGCAGCAGACAGTATAGTTTAAAAGCGCTAACAGTTGAGTTTCAACAGCGATTTCGGGACGAATAGAAAGGCGATCAAAGTGCAAGTAAAGTGTTCAAGTGCAATTTTTTTAAGACTTGTATAGTAAAGTATTTAGTGAGTGTATTGTGATTAACATTGTGTGTTAACTGCCGTTTGAACCGTGTGGTGAATAGTACTGTCAAGCGTGATCGGCATATAATTTCGAACCCCATCCCGACACGTAACAATATTATCATTTTTTTTTATATAATAACATAGAGATCTCTGCTCAGATTTCTATAAAAAAAAAAAATGATGTGGTGTCGTGGGACACCAGGTAGGAACGAAGTTCCTTCGGCTAATGTAGAATCGACACAAATTGCAAACTCGCTTGTATATGCGACTGTCGCGCCTGCGCACGTCTCATTTAACGGTTTTATTCCACGCACTTTTTTCCACGGATTTTTTCTTACGGTTTTACTATCACATTTTTTTCAGGTCGGTCGCGCAGCAAAATCCCTATCCCAAGCCTACCGTAAGGAACTTCGTCGCGCCTGCGCACGTCTCATTTAACGGTTTTATTCCACGCACTTTTTTCCACAGATTTTTTCTTACGGTTTTACTATCACATTTTTTTCAGTTCGGTCAGCTAGTGTTCGTAAAGATTGCTAGGCAGGACTGACCCACAGTTTATAATAAACTACAATGTCACAATAATCCAGTAATGCAGCCCCGTCGCTCTGCCACCCCCCTGGACTTAACCACAGTTTAGTATAATATACGACAATAATCCAGTGTTGGTATAATGCCACAATAATTTGGGGTTGCACCCCCGTCGCTCTGTCACCCGCCGTTAAGTACTGACCTTGTTATCATGTCTAGCTTAAGTTTACAGCAGATGACAGGCGTTCCTTGTCCACAGCTCGGTATAACGTCACAAATATCCAGATTTCGTGTAATGTCACAATATTCCAGTGCTGCACCCTCGTAGCTGTGCCACCCCCTACATACGCACCTTATTATCATGTCCCGCTAGCGTTCGTGAAGGATGCTAGGCAGGACTGGCCCACAGTTTAGAATAAACTACAATGTCACAATAATCCAGTGATGCACCCCCGTCGCTCTGCCGCCTCCTGATAAGTACTCACCTTGTAATCATAATCATGTCTCACAGGCGTTACTGGTCCACAACTTGATATAACTTCACAAATATCCAGTGTTGGGGTAATATCACAATATTTCAGTGATGCACCCTCGTCGCTCTACCACCCCCTATAACTTCACACATATTCAGTGTTGGTGTAATATCACAATATTTCAGTGATGCACCCTCGTCGCTCTACCACCACAACTTAACATCACACATATTCAGTGTTGGTGTAATATAACAATATTTCAGTGATGCACCCTCGTCGCTCTACCACCCCCTATAACTTCACACATAGTCAGTGTTGGTGTAATATCACATATTTCAGTGATGCACCCTCGTCGCTCTACCACCCCCTATAACTTCACACATATTCACTGTTGGTGTAGTATCACAATATTTCAGTGATGCACCCTTGTCGCTCTACCACCCCCTATAACTTCACACATATTCACTGTTGGTGTAGTATCACAATATTTCAGTGATGCACCCTTGTCGCTCTACCACCCCCTATAACTTCACACATATTCACTGTTGGTGTAGTATCACAATATTTCAGTGATGCACCCTCGTCGCTCTACCACTCCCTATAACTTCACACATATTCAGTGTTGGTGTAATATCACAATATTTCAGTGATGCACCCTTGTCGCTCTACCACCCCCTATAACTTCACACATATTCAGTGTTGGTGTAATATAAAACAATATTTCAGTGATGCACCCTCGTCGCTCTACCACCCCCTATAACTTCACACATATTATTCAGTGTTGGTGTAATATCACAATATTTCAGTGATGCACCCTTGTCGCTCTACCACACCCTATAACTTTATTAGTTTATTAATTAGTCTTATTTAACGGTTTTATTCCACGCATTTTTTCTTACGGTTTTACTATCACATTTTTTTCAGTCCGGTCGCGCAGCAAAATCCCTATCCCTCCAAGCCTGCCGTAAGGAACTTTCGTTCCAATATTTTGTTAATTGGTAGACTTCAATAAACAAAAATAACTTTTATTTATCTTATTTCTCTAGAAGTTTTGCTAGAGTTTGTTACTATAACAACCCCGTAGACATAATATGGATCAGTCTGGGAGGTAGGAGGGCCTGGCAACATCTAGAAAATAGAATTCTTTGAAAACAAATTACGACTTCGTAGAAAATAGTCTTGTAAGAAATGTCTTAATTCATTTCCATATCAAAAGTGTGACAACAAAAGCCTTTAACTAGGCCTCCGTTTTCCGTCTCAAATTAACCGGAACCATTATTAACTGTATAGAAATTGCGACTACATTAATTCTTTCGTAGTTAAAATTTTCATAAAATATTTACAAAAATAAAACTAGTTTTAACGGGTTATAATGCACATCACTGTGTGTGAAAACCTGAGAAACAAATATATTTACAAAAAAATGTATTATCGCTGAAGCAACAAATAATAAAATATATAGAAATCAAAAAAGACTTTTTTGTGAAATGGCTATATTGCAAATATTTCCAACCTTGTTAAAGGTACGAAACCCTTCATAAGATGCGTGTTCGACACCTTAGCCGGTTTTTGCTCATGTTTTCCTAAAACTGGGACAATATTAGTAAAATATTGTAAATATTTCTTTACATTTACAATATTAGTAAAATAGAAATATATAAGCTCAAAAATATTTTCAACACATTTGTTTAAAAAAAACATTTACGGATGCTGTATCAATTGTTCGAAAGTTCAAAATTCCGGACAATTCGACGGAGCGTGCGGTAAAACATTTTGGAAATACGCGCCATTAAGTTATTAGAAAAAAATTTGCTTCAATATGTATTTAATTTAGGAACACTTACTGTTTTCTCGCAAATGTGTTAAAAAACATTGTGTGGAATTAAATAAATAAATATTTCCAACACTCACATCAATGAGCCTAGCCCCAAAGTAAGCACTGTAGGCTTGTGTTATGGGATACTAGGGTAACGGATAGAATACATATACTGTACATATATAAGTATATTTATAAAGAAATACATATTAAACATCCATGACTGAAGTACAAATGCTCGTATTCATCACACAAAAATCTGCCCCCACCGGGATTCGAACCCGGGACCTCTCAAGTCGGCGACACTAAGAAACCCGGCGTACAAACCACTCGAATTGGTATTTACGAACCCGCTACTATGGTAAGTTTTCGACTTCGTCTCGGGCTTACTTTCATGTACTCGTTTGTAATAACCAACGTACCGCACTAATAGCATAAATAACTATTACCTGCACGCAAAAACAATCTAAATTCAACAAAGGATTCTAATAAAATTGACACAGTTAATCACCAGAATTTGGACATAAGATACGTCTTTTTGACGACCTTCGTGGCCGAGTGGTTTGTACGCCGGGTTTCATGGTGTCGCCGACTCGAGAGGTCCCGGGTTCAAATCCCGGTGGGGGCAGAGATGCTTGTGTGATGAATACGAGCATTTGTACTCCAGTCATGGATGTTTAATATGGATTTCTATATAAATATACTTATATATGTACTGTATATGTATTCTATCCGTTACCCTAGCATCCCATTACACAAGCCTTACAGTGCTTACTTTGGGGCTAGGCTAATTGGTGTGAGTGTTGGAAATATTTATTTATTTATTATTATTTATTTTTATCCCGGGAAAAATATTTGGTAACTGTTGAATTCTCATAAAACAAACTACAAAACGTAATGGTTTCTTTAGTGTCGCCGCACACGGGCCTTCTCGTGGCGGCGTTTGTGGCTGTGGCGTGTGGCCCTTGTGCGGCGACACTTAATTCTACGCGGACGAGATCGCAGGCAAAGTCTTGTTTAATAAAGTGAAAATTTCAACGATTTGATGTTGTGATGTGAAAACTACAAGTAATAGAAAGAGATAAGTTTTTT